TGTTCATCAACATCTACTTGGACGGGAAATATCCCCCTAACGTTGCATCGTTCTAGCTTCTCAATTTCCCGAGTTATGAACTTACCCGGAAAAAATTTCGACGACCCCGCACTTGAGTACCATGTTTACCCGGGGGATGATTTTTCCAGTTGAAAGTTTGGGACAAAACATACTTGGTGCTGCTGTTATACAGCTCATGAGAGACGCCTAATAAACTCTGAACAAGATCGTGTGGTCCTGGTGTGAAGCAGGGATTGAAGAGCACATGTGAAATAACATTGCTTTAGCGTGAACAGAGGTGTATGGTGGTGTGTAGAAGGAGTATTGTGTGGGATGACGTGGGAAGGGTTCGTTTCCGTGTAGTACTTCGTTCAAGTTGCGCGGGGGGTGAGGGGCTGGTTTTATTTACGTGGGTTGTTCTTGGGGAGGGGGATAGATGGTTTTTCAGGGAAGGGGTGGTAGTACAAGGTGCTTTTTTTGCGGGCGAATAGAAATCTGTGGAGTGCATTCATTGTTCTGATATGATCTGAGATTCAGTGAAGGGGAGGGGATCGCAGTACCGCAGCAAGTACGTCAAAATTAAGCAAGAAGGTGCATAAAGTTTAACTAAAAAAAACAATAATAGTGCTAACAGTGATAATGACAATAATGATTATTATAATAATGATAATGATAATGATAATGATAATAATGGTAATAATAGTGATAATAATAATATTAATAATGATTGAATTATAGTTGAAACAATGCAGTAATCATCCACGATATTGATACTACAACTCTTAAAAACGTCCTAATAAAAATATGACAATAAAATATTGTGATGTGAATAGTAAAATCGTAACTTTTTCAACGATGAGAATTCTTATTTTCTCGTAAAATCATCATTTTTTTATCGTCTTTTTTCCCCCTATTTTATTTTCAGGATGAAATAAGCGGGAAAAAAAAAGACAACGAATGAGTGGCACGTTGATGAATGTTTCGGCATCAACAAGCGGAACAGCAACTCCACGATCCAGGGTAAGTTACCCTGGCACAATCACTAGGGGAATTGTAGATCTGGGTAAAATTACCCGACATAATCACCAGGGGAATAGTTTTGCATAAAATTACCATCGTTTTCGTGTTCTTCGGAAGTTTTCTCAGTGGTTTTTTTTCTGAATGTTTTCCATATACATCTCTTTTTTTTATGCTTCAGATAGATGCCCTCTCACGTGATGATCTGCTGCGTTTTGTCAAAAAGCAAATT